AATGGAAGTTAAACCTCTGCAATAAAACTGGGCTTTACATACTGCTTTTCCTGTTCCCTATTCTTGGCAAACAACAATTAGACAAGTGGCTTTCACTATCCATTCAGAATGAAAGGAAAGAAAAAAAAAAATCAAATCAACAGAAAGTAGTGAAGTAGTAAACAGGATTAAACACAGCCTTTAGTAGTCTCAGATAGGGGATTATCTAATGCTTTCTATTTATCTTGCTGATGGTCATTTCAATAAGCACCTAAACAAAACAAAGTTAATGAAAATGATTGTGCAATCTATGGAATAATATTTGCTAAGCACAGTAGCTGCACAATGACATGGAAAGACAGTCCGTAACCATCAGATTAACTAGTGCCAAAGAACACTAAAACAGATTAAATATAAACATTGAAACCCAGGAGACTACATCCCTGAGTACAGTTATACACTACTTATGTACTCTGCAGGTAGAAAAACATGATCATAAAAATCAACAAAACCAGTCTAAGGAGAATCTTTTAAGTGAAGTGAGGCCAGCATAAGGTCCCCAATAACGTCTTCCTCTTTCCCCAGCTCAAAGCAAATAAAGTCACTACAAAATGGAAAATAGGCAGCGTTGACTGATTCTGTAAGGTTTTTCTTTTTAATTGTATTTTCAAGTCCCCTAAAAACAAACTAAGACACTTTTGTTCTGCTCTAAGAACAAAAGCTGATGGATCAGCTTGCATCAAAAATAATCAGGGCAGAGTGAAGGCGAGCTAAATACATACACATTATATTCAGCACTTATTAACATGCATCACAATTAATTTCCAAAGGAAAATATTCCCAGATAGCTAGTAGTTTGTTTAAAATTCTGTCCTACAGCAGAAGCACCAATCTGGCTCTCATTTTTGTGTTCCAGGAAACAGCTGTTTGTGTTTACAGTTACCAACAAACAATTCAGCTTTTTAATCAAACAAGAGCTGCTTGGGTGCCTTTGCCCATGGCTATGGGAATCAAATCACTCTGGAAAACAGATCTTTTACAACATTACGAAGAGGCCCTCAGCGGATGCAGGGGATTTGAGAGGCATGCTTTTTGAGGAAACCAGATTTATAGTTTGCAGCATTCTCCATCCTGGGTCAACATACTGAGCTCAGTAACAATCTTCAAACTCAAAATGGCCCGGGAGTCAGTTTTCTCTATTCTTCTCTCTCCAAATTATGTTCTGTCTCATGTGCCTACATCGTCTAGCTTTTTCCCCACTGCATATGCAGACACATAACAAAATATTTGTTCAACTCTACTATAAAACAAAGTTGGGCAATCCAGAGAGAATGATTTTGTTTTTCTAGCAACAGACTACATTTTTCCAGTATGAACATATAGAACCATTTTTGCTGTATGAACACTTGTATGATGGCACTTGCTTAGAGGTTGAAGAGAACATGTGAGCTCCTCTCCATATTTCACTTTAGTTTTGTAGTAACCTTTGCCTACTGCTGGCCTGTTCAGAGCTGTTCCTCACAACTACAAGGCATGTACATATGCAATACATGCAAATGTTAGTTTGTCACAAAACAAGATCAGTTCCTCATTTTCCTAGAAGTGAGTTAAACACCAATGTATCAATGGTGGGCCCCATAAGGAGTCAAAATGGAATGTATGCTGGCCAAGATTTATGCTTCTTGCACTGCTGCGCACATCAGCCTTTGAAGAAGCAGGTGAGTTTAAATGCTGCAGCTCTAGACTTGAAAAGGCAGAAAAGTGTATCTTAGTGAGAAGCAACTACCAAGTAGTTCCTCCTCCTGATCATTGCCTAGCAGCATATTAACCTCTTGTATTTTGTAGCAGAAACCTCTGAACCAGTTCAGCTTCTTTCCTTCACAGAAACACTTAACACTGTGCAATCTATGCCATTCCTGTCCACAAAGCTTCCCTAAGAAATGGCTATGTGATCTACAAAAACAGAATTGTGCCACCAAGTTTTTTCTCTTCTAGAAAAAGCCAGACCTTCAAAGAGCTAATACACTAGAAAACCCCACTAGAAGTGATACAGCAGCAGGCACTGGAGGGCTTTTAGTTGACTTGCAAGGAGCACAGCCTTTTCTCTTGAAGACAGGTAACATGAGGCAGTTTAGTTAATGAAATCTTCCACCAAGAATTCCAGGGCGAATTTGAAGACTTATGTCTTCAGAAAAATCTTAGACAGTCTCACAGGCGCGTTGCTAAACAAAACACTAGTGAAGGCCACAAAGGGAACGTAAACAAACTCACACTGGTCTACAGACTGATGGAGGCAGGACAACAATGCAACAAACAACAGAAAAATAAAAAACTGTATGACCAGGAGCAGCTGTGTGCCAGACTCAAAGATTCCCTATGATTGTTGTAGTAAAAGGACAGAGATTCTCCCTGTTCTGTCATTGCAAGTTGTGCTGCAGATATTAAGAACCACTAAAACTTTGTTCCCCCACAAGGTTACTAGATCACTGCTAAAAGACTCAGCAAGTGGAAACCTGGAGACATTGTGTTTTCATTTTATATGGTATCTGCTTCCTCTGGGATTCCCTAGCCAAGGTACTGCATAATCCTTTACAATAAAGCAACACTGTTCAGGCAATTCCCAAGACAGCAGCTAAAGGAAAAAATAATAACCCTTAGCAAAAAATACACAAACAACTATCTACAATATAAAAGAAAATCCACTTAGATACAAACTAAACAGGAAACTGAAGTGTCTTGAGTTTAAATGAGGGGAAGTTGCAAATGAGTTCTGGCTCTCTAGAGAATAAAAGTATTTCAACCTGATGGCCACTATCAGCAAAAGATCTTTTTTATTCTATCTTGATGGCCACTATCAGCAAAAGATCTTTTTTATTCTATCTCCTCAAAACCTCAAGTTGATGATCCTATCAAGTGAACATGAGGGAAGATTAATTTCCCTCTTCATTGACTTCTTGGGTCTTTTGCCTTGAACACGAGTTCAAAATTGCACACAGCACCCTTATACAACAAGCAGTCCCTGGGTTTCATAATCTAGGTTGTCCTTCCCAGGCAAATGCAGTTTATTACATGGAGGAATGCCAAAAGCTAAGTGTGTAAGTTTATACAGACATACCACACTATTTGTATTGGATTGATTAAAAGCCCAGCAAATGAAAACAATAAAGAAAAGAATCTAAGAACAGAGCATTCTTTATATCTTTGTAATTTTGGTTTCTAAATAGACACACTTTCAGGAGTTGAATATGTAATTATTTTCAAAACTTACAAATGAGCAGCAATGAGTAAAACAACTGGATAAAATATTCCAGCTGAACTTTATGTGCAACTTTTATTTAATTTTAAAAACCTGCCTTCCATGAATTTTTCAAATTTCTCTTACAGGAAAACATCACAGTGATACTGATGTCTATATTTTGTGTAATCCAACTCAAAAAGATGCAATATACAACTTAAATAATTAAAATAATCCCACCTCTGTTGAAGTGAATGTTGCAATTGTTATTGATGTAGAATGAGGAATGCATGACAATGCCTCCTAACCAGGTCCCAGAACATTCAACACTGAACTTTACTGTCCAAATTGCCTTCCCCTTCAAAAAAATTAAGAAATCCAAGCAACAAGAAGTATATTTAATCACACTGTAACTATAAAAGTAAAATAAATTAACCAAAATAAAATTAATAAAACAACACAGAAACAGTTTGCCTTCAAATGTCAGTTATCCTTTCAAAATTACAAAGATGCAAGTCAAGAATTTTGGTCAATGTCATTAACCAACATCTACAAAGAAGAAACACAAGCATAGCTGAGATAATCATAAAGTTATCCCTCCTTTGAATGTTATTGAAAGGATATACTCAAAATCAGAAGGATTAAACCACAGAATTAATATGAAGCAGAGGTCTTTGGAGGATTTGCAGTTATCTTAATGAATAGTTTCTGCCTCATGACAAAGGCCGAGATAATACCTGCACTGTGCAAGTGCTTTTTCCCACTGAGCAGCTGAGGAAACTGAGACTCATGACCACAGTTCCAGACTAGTATTCTCCTTGTTCTGACAGAGACATATGTGACCACCCAGAGTTCTCCAAGGTGAAAGAGAACGCCACAGCAAACCCAAACGTGTAGTAAAAAAAAGCATTTAGTAAAGAATAGCCATATCTGTCAGGTAAAAACCAGTTCCCCATTATCAGTGGTAATCACCGACTCAGCACTGATTGGAAACTGGTAGACTTCTTTTTCCCCATCATTCTGACAAAAAAGCTTGTCATGCACATGAAACCCTTCATGTGTATAACCCTCTCCTTCCATACCGCACTTCACCTACAGAATACAGGACCAGATTTTACATGCTCTACTCACAAGTAATCTCTCTGAATGAGTCAAGAAACTTCTGGCCTCTATTTGGGGAAAGTTAAAATTGAAGAACCTTAAACTCATAAAACTTCCATAATTATTCAAGCACTGATTATTTATAATAAGCTAAAACTGTTGGTCAGAGAGATAAGAAGGATCAGGTAAAGATGAACAATGAATTCACTGATTCTTGGCTCCCAGACATAAAACTCATTAAATTATGGTCTGAAGTGATGAAAAAATTGTAATTCATGGCTAAAATAAGCCAACGTTTTACTGTTACATGATCGTTGTCTTGCCCAAGCATAGAAGAAAGCAAAACTTCAGCTTAGTGATGAGCTTCCAGCTTTCAGTGCTATCTGTGGCTACTGCTCAAGAACAGTGCACAACTTGTCCTCTGCTTAGGGCTTGAAGCTGTAATTATGCAAAATAACTTGATACTAGGTCTAGAATTACAAAACCCACAACCCATGTTTTCTCCAAGGCTGTCCAGCAAGAGCTCCTAAACTAGAAAACTAAACTTACATCGGCTATCATCACACTTGAACTTTAAAAACAGCCTCCATAAAGTGAAGTCAGAGGCACATCTGCACATTATTGATCATCAGCACAACACTGATATTGGCTACATTATAAAATTGTGCCAGTGACGGGCTCCAACATGGAACTGCCTGTAGTTCCTTATTCTATGGAGTATCAGTATGCAATTTGTTGGAGAGATTCTGTAATCCACAGATGAAGGCACTTGTAGGTTTTGATTTTATCCAGCATTAACAGCCCCTAATAGCCTAGTTCAGCATAGACATAACAAATGGAAATGGCTTTAAATTATCCTTCCCTTGAGATGTAATTTCATAAGAGAACAAACTCTATATGCACAAAGAGAGATTTCCAACGTAAACATGTGGTGGAAGCTAAAAGCTTCAGTTAGATTTAGGGCAAAGCAAGGGATTAAATTTCAAAGACACCCATTTCTTTCCAGTTCACAATACATATATTCTTTTCTGCTGACTTTTCTGCCCTTTGTGCTCAGAAGATCATGTCTATTAAAGAAATCACTTTTTAACTTTTTGAGACCTTACTGAGCTTTGTCTCATTTCCCCCCTCACACAACAACTCTGGCTGGAATAGAGAATCTACAGTTGTTATAATGAGTAAATCTTAAGAAGAACCAGAATCATTATCAGCATCTGCCTGTGAACATTTTAAATTATTCTTTACGTTTTCAGAAGGTGGCCTCTAGAATTTTCACTAATTATTAGCTATATTGAAATTCTTAAACCATGAGGAAAAAATAAGAGCTGTGTAATAACTCCAGTATCGAAGATTCTTCAGGGTTTTTTTCTTTCTCAGGATTAATGTAAACCTTGATTTTGTATTTGATAAGATGCCAAGCAGAGTTAGAAAGAAATGTGCTTTGCAGAGAGAAATCCAATGCTAATGCTAGAAAAAAATGTATTTATGAACATAATGTTTTTCCCTCTGACTTAATCCTCTGACAAAAATACCTATGAAGACATTATATGCTAACCATTACTATTTGAAGGTTTGACCTCATCACCTCTCATAAAAACACAAGATTTAGATGCAACAGAAAACTTCCAGTCATTTTGCACTGGTATTGACTTATTCAAAAGTGAAGTTTAGATCCCTAAAGGTTAGTTCTTCTGTTCATTTGTCTTTTTTTCAAGGCACTGTTTTTAAACATTGCTAACATCCAGTGCTGAAACAGTGAACCCTAAAAGAATGCACTCATTATCTATTTGAAGATAATGTGATATGGTGTTTTTTGTGATTGGACACACTGAATCTGTTACAATCATAGAAAACAAAATTTCTTTCAGTCATCTGAGATCTGTGGTTTCAGACAATTGTGTTTAATTAGGAAAAAAATCTGTATTTAAATAGTCCCTACAATAAACAAATTTAAGGATTTAAGGAAATTTAAACAAAAAGCAGAGGGAAAAAAAAAGGATGAAAATGGCAAATCTGGGCAGAACAGAGGGGTGTTTATACAAGCCAGCATTTGTATGAAAGATTTACACACTGTAAAGTGGCAGCAGAGTTATTATTACCAACGTTTACAATCCAAGAGAGCAAAATAGCCCCCTGCATGTACAATGGACTAATTTTGTTAGTGACAAAAGTTTGTATGGGATGCAGCTTTTTACCTCTCTTAGCTGAACACTTTTGTGCTGATGTAATTCTAGCTTTGTCATTAGTCCTGATACTGCATAGGGTAGTAAAAACAGACCTAAGCATGTCAGAATGTTCCTTTAGAAGGTTTCTTTTGATTGGCTTGTCATTTAATATTGTTTCTTTTTTAAAGAGAAGGCTTCATACAATAAGGGAAATTATCTGCTCTCCTCATATTCCTTAGGGTACACAAGTCACTCCTTCAGCAACATTTACCACATATAATTTACCACAACCACAACCTTCATCTTTTACTGTGTTGTGCTCTAGGAGGACACTGTTCCTGACATTTAATCCATAGAAACAAATTTCAAAGTTATCTTTCTTTTTTTTTTTTTTGAGAACCGGGGCCTAGGAAGTTTTTTTATGATCTCAACAGAAAGTTATATGTGTTTAATGCTAGAATTGCAAATATCACAAGAGGCAAGACATGAAGTGTATGATGTGTTCAGCTAAAGAACTGATAATGCCTGAAATTTTCTAATTGACAACACTTATATATGCAAATTTTTTGACACATATTCTCTCAGAATTATGACTAGTGTCTCCATCTTCAGCTTCTATCTTGGACAAATGCACCTGAAGATACTGGTGCTTAGCTTTTGGCTCTAAAGGCCATTTTGGGGGTTTTTGTGGTTTAGTTGGGTGTTTTGTTGTTGTTGTTTTAAATCAATGAGTGGTTGACCACAGACTGCTCTGCAATTTCCCAAAGTAAAGTATTTCACTAGTAGATGGAAAAAGATTTGATAATCATAACAACTCCAAAAAGAAAAACCATAAAAGGAATGATCATTCATCCAAATTGCCCCAACAGATCAATTGGAAAAGACTTCTTTTGCAGACTTCTGTGTGGTTATCAATGAATCTATCTACATGTATACACACATGCACAGGCACATAGATATCTATCTCTTCTATTATATACTAAACTAGCTTTGTGTTTATTTAGGAGAGGTTGGTGGAATGTGAAAGTCACAGCTGGTTCAGACACTCATCTCCTGAAGAATATATATTCTGACAGGAAACTACACATTAGAATTTGATACTCCTGTCTTTTGAAGAAGCCTAAGTTGAGTAAGTATGGAAATGGAATTTAAAATGTTTTTAGATCAGCCAAAGCAGCAAAATAAAAGGGCTTTACAAATGTAAGCTGAGAGTTTCCTTTAATTTTACTGAATAAATTTCCAATTTTTTTTTCATTCTTCAACAGCCCCAGAACAACAAAAAAAAATCATATTTGGAGAAACTATCTCTACTAAGCATTTTCTCTGAAAGTATGTTAATATATCATTCTGCACAGCTTTATCCTCTGCAACTTCACCTTCTTGACTTCCTGAAAAGATCCTTCAGATCAAAGATGATGATTAATTTCTATATGGAATTGTTTACAGCAAGACCAGGTATAAACAAAGGTGAAATAATAATAATAGAACTGGACTTGCATTGCAACCTGTAACCCAGTCAAGCTAGTAATTGAGCATTTTAAAGTATCTTTACAGACATGGAGGAGACCACTGCATGCATTGGGAAATAATTCAGCAATTTCAGTAACAATTGTGAAGGTGAGCGTGGAGTGCAGCAACCAAATAGAACAGAAAGGTCCATTATCCTTTAAGCTGGAACTCAGTCAAAAGGAAGTTGAAACCACCACTTCACCATGAGATACTCAGGAGAGACAGTTATTTCTGAGGAAGTGAGGTTATGCAAAAGTTCTGACAGAAAACAGGAAGCCAATCGAAAAATGAGATGTTAATTCACAGTAAGACACAAGCGACAGCCTCCGTTTGCTGACTCTCCTTTCTTGCCAGATGTAGCAAGAACATGCCATTTTCAAGACAGATAACTTCTTTCTGAATGCACAAAAATCACAAAGCAAGGTCACTTTTAATCTAAATCCCATTTCCAAACATAGCAGGGCTTGGGTATGTTGGGAAAGAAGTGCTGAGAAAGAACTACCCAGTTCCTCCTGAGTGGACAGAGGAGAACGCCTTCATCTCTTCTCATTTGTCATCCTTCAGTTCCTCCTGCTGAGTAGGCTTGATCTGGAGTATAAAGTATAAGTATGAAGTACTTATTGGGGAAAAAAGAACAACCCACAGTACCATAAGGCTTAATAAATAATAAACTTGCCTGCCCAAAATCTTCATTCACAGAACATTTTAAAGGTTACAATATTGTAGCTGGTATTTAATTTTGATGCAGCAAGTAAAAAAACATACTCAAGCTGAAAGCAGGTCTTACCCAAGTCAGAATGTATAAACACTTGTGCAGAGACCATAAGGACTAAGTTGTGCTTTCTCAGTAAATTGGATGAAGCAGCTCCAAAAATTTCCAGTCCCTTTCAGTACCTTCCATTAGGCATCATCTCATTATTCTAAACACATGAAATTTGGTCACCCAAAGGAAAGACAAATCCAGAGGGTCTCTCCTGTGGTTTATCCTTACCATCTTTTAATTTATGGACTTCAGGGCTTTACTGGAAATTTTCACTTCTGTAAATAGTCTTAGTTAAAGTTTTTATGAGCCATGGATTGCCAAGTGAGATCCTGAGTACTTCAGCTAACAAACCAGGATTCAAGGCTCATTCCTCTTACTTTCAATGGTTCCATGGTAAAAACATTCCTTGTCCTAGCTTGACATAATATGGGAGAACACACAGATTTCTATCAGATACCTCCAAATTCCATCAAATGTCTTCATCCAGAAACCAACCTAATGTTCTACTTTCAAACAACCAGAACCAAGTCTTAAATTGAGACTTCAAAGAATAGGCCAATTTGTGAAATGCATCACGACACATCTATAGGTATAAACCAGAGTTTACCTGTTCTGAGAGAAGTTTGAGCATTTGGGCTGTGTTCTTTGACTAGAAGGCCTTCACCTAGACCTAATGCTCTCAACCTTAAGCAGGGAACCTACAGTCTTTTGAGTACATACTGCTCAAGTTGCTTCCACTTCTTTACTAGTTTACAGTGTAGTTTACTCTGTGGCCCACTGAGAGAACTTGACCTACATAGGCATTTTTATAAACCACCATTCCTGGCATCAACATATCTTCAAACTATCCTCTGCCACTAACATAGTGAAGTAGCTGGATATTACTTTGCTATGTTAAAAACTAATTTTTTTTTTCCCCCCTGAATATCAACTTCCAGGCTGCCAGCCCAGGGTTGGTGTTTCTTGGCTTCCAGCTGACCATACTAGGGCACGGGGACTCACACATCGGTAAATATTTCAAGAGCCATGGCTACAACAGCTGTTTTCATCAACACTACTTTTATTGTTAAGATATTTACAGTGACAACAATTTCTGCAAAGAAAAAAATCTTGAGTCTTCTATAAGGAAGCCCAGACTATGCATTCTTTGTCCTCCTGCTCCTATAAGTGATCAGGTTCTTGAGACTGATGAGGGATGCTGGGCCATGCTCACTATTCACAAAATATCTCCTGACATAATTTAACATAGTTCTGTGATACATAATGT